TCGGGTCTGACTTCCTGGGTCTCCTTCTCGGGGCGACTTCCTGGGTCTCCTTCTCGGGCTCTACTTCCTGGTCTCCTTCTCGGCTTCCTGGGTCTCCTCGGGCTCTTCGGACTTCCTGGGTCTCCTTCTCGGGGGGCGACTTCCTGGGTCTCCTTCTCTCGAGGGACTTCCTGGGTCTCCTTCTCGGCTCTGGCGACTTCCTGGTCTCCTCGGGCTCTTCCTGGGTCTCCGGCTCGAGGGGACTTCCTGGGTCTCCTTCTCGGGCTCGAGGGTGACTTCTGGGTCTCCTTCTCGGGCTGACTTCCTGGGTCTCCTCGGCTCTGGGCGACTTCCTGGGTCTCCTTCTCGGCTCTCGACTTCCTGGGTCTCCTTCTCGGGCTCTTGGGCGACTTCCTGGGTCTCCTTCTCGGGCTCGGGCGACTTCCTGGTCTCCTTCTCTCTTCTGGGTCTCCTTCTCGGCTCGGGGTGACTTCCTGGTCTCCTTCTCGGCTCTGGGCGACTTCCTGGGTCTCCTTCTCGGGCTCGAGGGTGACTTCCTGGGTTTCCTCTCGGCTCTTCGGCGACTTCTGGGCTCCTTCTCGGGCTCTGCGACTTCCTGGGTCTCCTTCTCGGGCTCTTCGGCGACTTCCTGGGTCTCCTTCTCGGCTCCTGGGCGACTTCCTGGTCTCCTTCTCGGGCTCGAGGTGACTTCTGGGTCTCTTCTCGGGCTCCTGGGCGACTTCCTGGGTCTCCTTCTCGGGCTCGAGGGTGACTTTCCTGGGTCTCCTCCTCGCTTCCTGGGTCTCCTTCTCAGGCTCCTGGGCGACTTCCTGGGTCTCCTCGGGCTCGAGGGTGACTTCCTGGGTCTTCTTTTCGTGCTAGAGGGTGACTTCCTGGGTCTCCTTCTCGGGCTCCTTCCTGGGTCTCCTTCTCGGGCTCGAGGGTGACTTCCTGGGCTCGGGCGACTTCCTGGGTCTCCTTCTCGGCTCTTGGGCGACTTCCTGGTCTCCTTTTCGGGCTGGGCGACTTCCTGGGTCTCCTTCCGGGCTCTGGGCGACTTCCTGGGTCTCCTTCTCGGGTCTGACTTCTGGTCTCCTTCTCGGGCTCGAGGGTGACTTCCTGGGTCTCCTTCTCGGGCTCCAGGGTGACTTCCTGGGTCTCCTTCTCGGCTCCTGGGCGACTTCCTGGGTCTCTTTCTCGGGCTCGAGGGTGACTTCCTGGGTCTCCTTCTCGGGCTCTTCGGCGACTTCCTGGGTTCTCGGGCTCTGACTTCTGGTCTCCTCTCGGGCTCGGGCGACTTCCTGGGTCTCCTTCTCGGACTTGGGTCTCCTTCTCGGGCTCGAGGGTGACTTCCTGGGTCTCCTTCTCGGGCTCTTGGGCGACTTCCTGGGTCTCCTTCTCGGGCTCTTCGGGGCGACTTCCTGGGTCTCCTTCTCGGGGCGACTTCTGGGTCTCCTTCTCGGGCTCTTCGGCGACTTCCTGGGTCTCCTTCTCGGGCTCCTGGGCGACTTCCTGGGTCTCCTTCTCGGGCTCTGGGCGACTTCCTGGGTCTCCTTCTCGAGGGTGACTTCCTGGGTCTCTTTCTCGGGCTCAGGGTGACTTCCTGGGTCTTCTTCTCGGACTTCCTGGTCTCCTCTTCGGCGACTTCCTGGGTCTCAGGCTCTTCGGCGACTTCCTGGGTCTCCTTCTCAGGCTCTTCGGCGACTTCCTGGGTCTCCTTCTCGGGCTCTTCGGCGACTTCCTGGGTCTCCTTCTCGGGCTTCTGGGCGACTTCCTGGGTCTCCTCGGGCTCCTGGGCGACCTCCTGGGTCTCCTCGGGCTTGGGGGGAGATGGGGGGAGGGGGAGACGGAGCTATATGGTGAGGGGGGGGGGAGAAGATGGGGGAGGTGGTGTATGGAAGGGGGGGACTCTCCTTCTCGGGCTCGAGGGTGACTTCCTGGGTCTCCTTCTCGGGCTCGAGGGGACTTTCCTCCCTTCTCGGGCTCGGGGGACTTCCTGGGTCTCCTTCTCGGGCTCGAGGGACTTCCTGGTCTCTTTCTCGGCTTCTTCCTGGGTCTCCTTCTCGGCTCAGGGACTTTCCTGGGTCTCCTTCTCGGGCTCGGGGTGACTTCTTGGGGGCTCTGGGAGACTTCCTGGGTCTCCTCTCGGGCTCAAGGTGACTTCTTGGGTCTCCGGGCCTTCGGCGACTTCCTGGGTCTCCTTCGGGCTCTTCGGCGACTTCCTGGGTCTCTTCTCGGGCTCCTGGGACTTCCTGGTCTCCTTCTCGGGCTCTGGGCGACTTCCTGGGTCTCCTTCTCGGGCTCCTGGGCGACTTCCTGGGTCTCCTTCTCGGGTTCCTGGGTCGGCTTCTTCCTGGGTCTCCTTCTCGGGCTCGGGCGACTTCCTGGGTCTCCTTCTCGGGCTCGGCGACTTCCTGGTCTCTCGGCTCGGGCGACTTCCTGGGTCTCCTCGGGCTCAAGGGTGACTTCCTGGGTCTCCTTCTCGGGCTCTTCGGCGACTTCCTGGGTCTCCTTCTCGGGCTCACCTGGTCTCCTAGGTCGGGCTCAGGGTGACTTCCTGGGTCTCCTTCTCGGGCTCGGGGGACTTCCTGGGTCTCCTTCTCGGCTCTGACTTCCTGGTCTCCTTCTCGGCTCTGGCGACTTCCTGGGTCTCCTTCTCGGGCTCTTCGGGCGACTTCCTGGGTCTCCTTCTCGGCTCTTCGGCGACTTCCTGGGTCTCCTTCTCGGGCTCGGGGTGACTTCCTGGGTCTCCTTCTCGGGCTCGGGGGACTTCCTGGTCTCCTTCTCGGGTCTGACTTCCTGGGTCTCCTGGGCTCTCTTCTGGGTCTCCTTCTCGGGCTCTTCGGACTTCCTGGTCTCCTTCTCGGGCTCTTCGGCGACTTCCTGGTCTCCTTCTCGGCTCTTCGGCGACTTCCTGGGTCTCCTGGGGACTTCCTGGGTCTCCTTCTCGGGCTCTTCGGGACTTCCTGGTCTCCTTCTCGGGCTCGGGACTTCCTGGGTCTCCTTCTCGGGCTCGAGGTGACTTCCTGGGTCTCCTTCGGGCTCTAGGGTGACTTCCTGGTCTCTTTCTCGGCTCAGGGTGACTTCCTGGGTCTCCTCTCGAGGGTGACTTCCTGGATCTCTTTCTCGGGCTCGACGGTGAATTCCTGGGTCTCCTTCTCGGGCTCGAGGGTGACTTTCTGGGTCTCCTCGGGCTCTTCGGCGACTTCCTGGATCTCCTCTCGGGCTCTTCGCAGACTCCTGGGTCTCCTTTTCTCAGCTCTCGCGACTCCTGGGAGTGGGGAGAGATGAACGGGGAAACAGTAAGAGCTGGACGGTAGATGTGCATAGTCGCAAGTTAGAGTAGAAGGAAGCAGGACGGGCAGACGGATAGTAGAGCAAGGAGGAGGAGGATTGAGAGAGAGAAGAAGAAGAGAGAAAAGAAAGAAAAGGAGAGAAGAGAAGAAGTAGAGAAGTAAATGTAGAAATGAAATAGGAAGTATAGGGGGGGATGAGGGAGAGAACTGATTTTAGAATGATAGAGAGAGAGAGAGAGAGAGATGAGCTGAGAGTAGTGTGTGCAAAGAGAGATGAATATAAGCCAGCACGAGAGGTTTGTGAGATAGAAAGAGATGTATGAGCAAGTTAGTTTGCAGAGAGAGTAAGTCAGACCTAAAGTTCGAATATGCAGAGCGTACTGAGTATTGAGTGATCGAGACAGAGAGGAGAGAAGAGAGAGTTGTAGTATATATTGCTATATGTTAGATGAGGTTTATATGATATAATAAAGGAAAGATGAGAGAGAGAAAAAGGGCAATGATAAGAAAAGATTGGAAGAAGAAAAGGAGACCCCGTGGTATAAAAAAGGGTTATTAAATTTGAGGTCTGCAGCTTCCGTACGGTGTAGACGTTATTCTTGTACTCGGCTTGGTCGGGTCCTGGGTGACTTCTTGGGTTCCTCGGGCCTCTTCGGCGAACGTGCCTGGGGTGCGTTGCGGTCGGGACTCGGCTGGGGCGATCTCCGTAGTGAGGATACTAGGCCGTCACTCGAGCGTCGTTACGGGCGACTTCCTGTCGTCTTGCGGTAATGGGGTACGAGGGGAGAGGTAGAAAGGAGGAGGGGAGGAGGAGGAGTATTTGGAAACTCCTGGTGTCTGTCCTTTCTGTCTCGAGGGTGATTACGGCTGATCTCCTTAATCTTGTGTCCGAGGGAACTTACTAGGGGTGCTATGCTACAGATATTTGTGAAGGAGGGAAGCGGGAAGGCTCTTCGGTCGAACAGTTCTGGGTTCTTTCTCAGGCTCTCGGCGCACACTTAGCTGGGTCCTCCTTCCTTCAATGAAGAATAGAGCCTCCAGAGGGTGACTTCCTGATCTCCTTCTCTTTCTCGAGCGGTAACGGGCCTGGGGTCTCCTTCTCGGGCTCGAGGGTGAATTTCCTGGGTCTGCTTTCTCGAGTGGCTCATTTTTGGCTTTCGGAGGACGAACATCTTCTTCATGGAGGTTCTTCTGGGTTCTCTGGCTTCCTCGGCGACTTCCTGGTCTCCCTCGAGCTCTCTTCCGCGTCGACTTCTGGGTCTCCTTCTCAGACTCCTGGCGCCGACTTCCTGGGTTCCTCTCTCTTTCTCTGGGCTCCTTCGGCGACCTTCCTGGGCTACCTCTTCGCGGCTCTCGCGACTTCCTGGCTCCTCCTTCTAGGGCTCGAAGGTGACTTCGCCTGGCGTCTCCTTTCCCCCGGGCTGACGGTGACTTCCTACCGCCTTCTTCCTTCTTCCTCTTTCCGGTCTCTGAGAGGTTCGCACCCTTCCCTGGGCCTCCTCTCCTTCCTCCTTCTCGCGGCATCGAGGGTTCGACTCCTCTCTGGGTTTCTCCTTCTCGGGATCGGCACGCGTGTGTATCTTCCTTCCGGGCATCTCCCTCTCTGTGCGCGCCGGTCGAGGGTGACTTTCCTGGTCTCTCTCTCGCGCTCAAGGGCTGACCCCTTCTTGGTCACCTTCTCAGGTCCCTCTTCGGCGACTTTCCTGGGTCTCCTCCGGTGCTCCTCTACGTGCGACTTCCTGGGTCTATTTCTGCGAGCTCCTGTGTGACTCCCTGGGTCTCACTTCTGCGGGCTCCCTCGGGCGACTTTCCTAGCGCTCCTTCTTTCTGGTGCTCCCCCCTGCGCGCCGACTTCTGGGTCTCCTTCTGGGGCTCATGGGCAAATTCCTGGGTCTTCTTGGGCTTGAGAGTGACTTCCTGGGTCTCTTTCTCGGGCTCCCTGGGGCGCCTTCCTGGGTTCCTTCTGGCTCGCTTGGCCGACTCTCCCACTGGGTCTTCTCGGCTCAAGGGCGACTTCCTGGGTCCTCCTCGGGGTCGAGGGTGCTTACGGGTCTCCTTTCTCGGCTGCTTCAGCGACTTCCTGTGTCTCCTTTTCGGGCCTCCTGGAGACTTCTGAGGTCTCCTTGTCCGCTCCTCCGGGCGACTTCTCTTCCTGGTCTCCTTCTCGCGGTCTTTGAGGGTGACTCTCTGGGTCTCCCTATTCTCTCGTCTCGTGGTGACTTCTGGATCTCCTTCTCGTGGGCTCGAGCGGCTGATCTTTCTCCTGGTTCTTCCCTCTCTCCAGCACTCTTCGGCGACTTCTGGTCTCCTTTTCAGGCTCTCTCGCACGAACTTCTCCGGCCCTCTCCTTCTCAGCGCTCTTCGGACGACTCATCATGGGTCTCCTTCTCGGGCTCGAGGGTGACTTCCTGGGTCTCCTTCTCGGGCTCGAGGGTGACTTCCTGGGTCTCCTTCTCCGGGCTCGAGGGTAACTTCCTGGGTCTCCTTCTCGAACTCGAGGGTGAATTCTGGGTTCTCTTCTCATGGGCTCGAGGTGACTTCTCTTGGATCTCTTCCGGGCTCTTCGGCGACTTCCTGGGTCTCCTTCTCGAGCTCTCCTTTCGGCCGACTTCCTGGCGCGTCTCTTTCTCTCAGCGCTCTATCGCGCGACTCTTCTTCTGGGCCTCCTCCTTGTTCGGGCTCTTTGGTTGTATCTTCCTGGGTCCTCCTTCCCGGGCTCCCTGCGGCGACTTCTCTCGGGTCCTCCTTTCCTCGGTGCTCCCTCGCTGCACTTTCCCTGGGTAATCCTTTCTCGCTTCGGGCTCGAGAGTGACTTTCCTGGGTCTCTTTCTCGGCTCGAGATGACACTTCTCTGGGTCTCCTTCTCGTCTCGAGGGTGACTTCCTGGGTTTTTCCTTCTCGGCTCAGGGTGATTCTTGGTCTCTTCCCTCTTGGGCTCCGGGGTTGACTCTCCTAGGGCTCCTTCTCGGGCTCTGAGGGTGACTTCCTGGGTTCTCTTCTCGGGTTCTTCGGTGACTTCTGGGTCTTCGGCTCTTCGGCGACTTCCTGGGTCTCTTTCTCAGAGCTCTTGGGTGACTTCCTGGGTCGTCCTCCTCCGGCGACTCATGGGCAAAATTTCCTGGTCTTCCTCTGGGCTTGAGAGTGACTTCCGGGTCTCTTTTCTGGGCTCCTGGGCGGCCTTCTTGGGTCTCCTCTCGGTCATCCTTGGCGAACTTCCTGGTCTTCTCGGGCTCAAAGGGGCGACTTCCCCTCGCGGTTCTCCTTCGGGCTCGAGGGTGACTTACTCCGCGGTCTCCTTCTCGGCTCTTCGGCGTACTTCTGGGTCCCTCCTTTCGGGCTTGGCAGATTTCCTGGTCTCTTGTCGGCTTGGGCCCTTTTGGTCCTCTTTCTCGGGCTCGAGGGTGACTTCCTGGGCTCCTTCTCGGGCTCTCGGGGCGACTTCCTGGGATCTCCTTCTCGGGCTCAGGGTGACTTCCTGGGTTCTCCTTCTCAGGCTCCTTCGGGCGACTTCCTGGGTCTCCCTTCTCCGGCTCTTCGGTGAACTTCCTGGTCTCCTTCTCGGGCTCTTCGGCGACTTCCTGGGTCCTCTCTTCTCGGGCTCAGGGGACTTCCTGGTCTCCTTCTCGGGCTCGGGGCGACTTCCTGGGTCTCCTTCTCGGGCTCCGGCGACTTCCTGGGTCTCCTTCTCGGGCTCGAGGGCGACTTTCTGGGTCTCCTTTCTCGGGCTCTCTGGGGACTTCCTGGGTCTCCTTCTCGGCTCTTGGGACTTCCTGGGGTCTCCTTCTCGGGCTCTTGGCGACTTCCTGGGCCTCCTTCTCGGCTCTTCGCGACTTCCTGGGTCTCCTTCTCGGGCTCTTGGCGACTTTCCTGGGTCTCCTTCTCGGGCTCTGGGCGACTTCCTGGGTCTCCTTCCGGGCTCTTGGGACTTCCTGGGTCTCCTTCTCGGGCTCTTGGGTGACTTCCTGGGTCTCTTTCTCGGGCTCTTGACTTCCTGGGAGGGACTTCCTGGGTCTCCTTCTCTCTCTTGGCTCCTTCCTTCTCCTTCTCGGGCTCACTTCCTGGGTCTCCTTCTCGACTTCCTGGGTCTCCTCGGGCTCTTCGGCGACTTCCTGGTCTCTTTCTCGGCTCTTGGGTGACTTCCTGGTCTCCTTCTCGGGCTCTAGGGTGACTTCCTGGGTCTCTTCTCGGCTCCTGGCGACTTCCTGGGTCTCCTTCTCGGGCTCTGGGCGACTTCCTGGGGGCTCTTGACTTCCTGGGTCTCCTTCTCGGCTCGGGACTTCCTGGGTCTCCTTCTCGGGCTCTGGGACTTCCTGGTCTCTCGGGCTCTAGGGTGACTTCCTGGGTCTCCTTCTCGGGCTCTAGGGACTTCCTGGGTCTCCTTCTCGGGCTCTAGGGACTTCCTGGGTCTCCTTCTCGGGCTCTAGGGTGACTTCCTGGGTCTCTTCTCGGGCTCTTTCGGGACTTCCTGGGTCTCCTTCTCGGCTCCTTCCTGGGTCTCCTTTCGGCTCGAGGGTGACTTCCTGGGTCTCCTTCTCGGGCTCGAGGGTGACTTCCTGGGTCTCCTTCTCGGGCTCTTGGCGACTTCCGGGTCTCGGGCTCTCGACTTCCTGGGTCTCCTTCTCGGGCTCGAGGGTGACTTCTGGTCTCCTTCTCGGCAGAGGGTGACTTCCTGGTCTCCTCGGGCTCCAGGGTGACTTCCTGGGTCTCCTTCTCGGCTCTAGGCGACTTCCTGGGTCTCCTTCTCAGGCTCTTCGGCGACTTCCTGGGTCCCTTCTCGGGCTCTCGGCGACTTCCTCCTCGAGCTCCTTCTTCTGGGTCTCTTTTCGGCTCCTGGGCGATTTTCCTAGTCTCCTTCTCGGGCTCCTGGGCG